ATGGTATCCTACTATTTTTATCACCACTTTCAATTTGTTGTATAGTAATTTATCTTAAAATATTCAATTAAAAAAAATATTTTGTAAAAAGCCAGGGGCGGTAAATGAATACCTACTGCTTCGAGTACATGAATAACCCCATCATAAGTTACTTTGTGTCGTTAAAATATTATAATAAAACTAACTTAGTTCATATGTATACCAAGTAGGTATACACATACCAATCAATGTGTATAATGGCACTATAGCCATTAGGCATTGCCATTGAAACGCGACCGTTTTTTTTTTTTTTAAATGTTTTGTCAGTCATTCGAGTATCCCTCTCCCCCCTCTCCATCTATGTATACGCGTCTCTCTTTATATATAATATATTATAGGTGAACACAGTTTTCACGGTTGATCTCCCCCGACCGAACGACGACGACGCCGYCACCGATAGATCGACAGCTCAGCGGCGCCGTTCGGACACCTTTTGACGGCGGAAAAAAAACAAAACAACAATGACAACAATGTGATAAGATGAAAAAAGCGGTCGGCGCGAGGACACATTATGATGGAAAATAAAAATATACAAAAATACAAAAAAAAAAAAATCTCCGAGTGTGACTATGCGCGGACAATGAGACGACGGTGTACACGCGTCGCCAATTCGTCACTTTTTGACACGCGCACTTCCCCGTCCGTCGATATCGCGTGTATTGTGCGCAAATTATAATAATAACAGTCACACATACCCACTATACATGTGACATACATACCCACATTCAGTCGTCGTAACGCGGATACGGCGATGGGTCGTATATTGCGTGACAGACGGGTCAATCATCTCGAAACGTCATCGATCTGTTAACTTATATAATAATGGTGCGATGTATTGGCGCGCAAAAAGTAAAAATATGACGAGCGTTATAATAAAAGTCTGNTACAGAATAATACATGATAATAGACTTATAAGTTTAAGCAGATATGGCGAACCTATTACAGGTATGTCACTCGGTGTCACGAGCCGGTGTGTACTAGTTGCGGTCATAATCAAAAATTACGTACTAGTTGCGGTCATCCCTCAAAAAGGTTACATACTAGTTGCGGTCACTCAAATAATAACTAAGTATACTAAATAATATAATATAATATAGTTTATATAATAATTAAATATGAAATTAATATTTCGTTTATTTATTTAATTTARCAAAATGTATCAATCAACATTTTCCTTCCCATTTATATCGAAAATATAACATTCTTAGGACTGTCTATACACACTATTATTTATTGTGTAGGTTAAATATGTTTATCGTATAATATAAATTTCGTCTGGAATTAGAGTATAATAAAGCTATGACCGCAATTAAGATAGTACCTAACTTGGCGTGACCGCAACTGTTATAATATCTGTTTATCTCAAAAATCGTCACGAGCACGCTCTTTTGGCGAAACACTCAACTTGTTTTTTTATCATTCAAGATGTAAGTATTTTTAAGTTTATACCTACTTAATGTATCTTATACTTAAATAAAATGTCTTCTAAAAGGTAAGTAAAACTTAAATTTTTATTTTTATTAGTTTTTCCCAATAGCGGACATTTTTTATTATTCCGCGTGTGTCCGCTATTTAAAGGTTTTACTGTAATGTAATGTCATACCCATAGGCGCCCGCAGAAATGTTTCTAGGGGGGGGGGAGCAATGTTAGGATTTGAGGATAAATATTATAATTTTACTAGGTGTTTTAAAATAATGACCTTTTTTATTATACTCGTATACAATATTATATTATATTTTATTATATTACAACTTATTTTATAATTAATATAGGTATTAGATACATAGGTATTWGGTATAAGTAAAAGGTAAAGGTAACTAATTCTCGAAAAGAAATTCTAATCGTCTCACATCTCTTCCGAAACGATCAACAACTTCTTCATAATATTTGTTATTAATTAGATCAATTAAATMTAATCTAAYGTTTTTAATGTTTMTAATGGTATCCTACTATTTTTATCACCACTTTCAATTTGTTGTATAGTAATTTATCTTAAAATATTCAATTAAAAAAAATATTTTGTAAAAAGCCA